ACTGCTCTGCCTTGCCCTTGAACTGAGAAAGGACACGGAGAAAGACAAGAACAGCAGCGCTCCAGCATTTCTTCACTAGAACTTTCCACTTGGCAGCTGTATTTTCAACACTATGGAAATGAGCCTTCCAACCTTTTCTAGTGATCTAATTTTAATTAAAAATGCTCTCTCCCAAGAGACTGATACCCGGTATAAAGGCAAAGTTGTGAGCGAAGTGGAAACCAAGGAGGACTTCTCCCAGGCCTTTTCAGGTGAGTTACACAGTAATGTTTTTACTACCAGCTGTATCTGAAGGTAACTGGCTGTTGTTGGGAAGGCTAAGGAGTAACATATGAGACTAGCAGCTGTATGTCATTAAAACTCTCTGGATAAACTCCAGATTGGGTTTTATCTAAATATGATTATTTCATACTGCTTCATACAAACCACAGATCTGTTACTGCTTAGAAGTGTCAGGTGAGATGAAAATCAGGACACACCCAGGTGTTCTTGGGGAACCAGAGAAGGACTTTGTTCAATTGGGATTCTAGAAAACATCTTAAAATGAGGGAAGCGGCCTTCAGCGGGAGGCCACCTTCAGGTGGTGAGTGGGGGGGAGAGCTGAAAGGCTATCTTCCTTTAGATAATTCCTTCCAGTAAAAACTCTAATAAAGTGCACAAAATAGTCATTCCTCTTTTGGTTAAAACTACCACTCCACTTCCCCCAGAACAGAATAAAGTTAGGAGAACAGAAAAATCTGTAAGACATATTTTTCTAATTAATGGATATGCGATTGAAACTTACTAAGAAAAACATGCAAAATATCACACCTGACATCACCAAAAGGCACCAAAAGGCTAATCCTTCAAGTTTATAACTGGTAACTCTTTTAAGTTACAGACCTTAAATCATCAGATTTTGCCACTCTCCTACAGCTGTTTAAGAATTAAACACGTTTAGCTCCAGCCTTCATGAACTAGCATTACTTTACTAAGAATCTGTGTGTGTGTGTTCCTTACTGGCCTGATACTTGTTGTGGAGTTCAGGATGGCTTCAGCCTTAGTCAATTCTTCTGTCTCAGCCTCAGAGTGCATGAGCTGCCCTTGCTGGCTTCACTGAGAATCCTAACCCTTCTGAGGAAGACAGACAAGTTACTGGAAGCTCCAAATCATTTTAGTAACCGTTACTTACAGTTCTCCAAGAAAATAGAACTTAAGGACCAAGAAAAATAAAGTTCTCTGAAAGTACATAAAAGTTTTAAAATTTATAAGGCATAGCATCTGATTAAGGTGCTAGGCAGATGACATATCTAATAAATATCACTGAATTGATATCTGAGTTAAATAATCATCTTTGTTTAGGTAAAAACAAAGTAAAAAGCAGTTTGAGATAGTTTCTGTCAGAGGAAATTAATACAAGCTAGTTTGCATAAAAGAAAACGATTGAATGTCAGAATTGATTCTACAAAGCTTGAAGGTATCACAAACAGTATTTGCAATTAACTGGGTTATTATAAACAGTTTAGCTGTAAGGAAAAAAAAGTTGCTTATTTCTGTTTTTGTTGTTGTTGCTCAGAACATAACCCTATAGTATATTTTTGATGGTATTTCATTATTGAGTAATAGGTAAGCAAATGCATTAAAAACTGATCCCAGGTTATCACTGTAACGCTAAGGTGTCCACGGAAGTAGTAATCAATGGACACTTGACACTGGGGGAAAACATGATCTGGGAGAAATAGTGAGGCAACTTTCTGCAAGGAGTGGATAATAAAGCATGATTTCCTCACCACAGAAGCACAGCCTAAGCAAACAAGTTTCCTGTAGTGACAGACCAGAAACGTATGCGACCCGAATCTGCCTTTTCAGAGTCTGGTCTACACAAAGAACTAACCGTCCTAGTACCTCCACAAACAGAACATGCCTCTGGGAATTTCTTTAGACGTGATGGGGAGATTTTTACATTGTCAGACCATTTGTTGTGCTGTTTGAGTCCATTTAGATCTGTTTAGGCCTGAGGACACTTCTGTTAAATGGGACATTTCTAGGAAACCCCTTCTCATCTAAGTTTTAAACTCAGGCAAAAAATTCACTGCTTGTTTCTAAAAACTGCATGGAAAAAAAATACATTCAGGTCTACCTTCCTACATGTCCACTGTACCTCTTCTGGTTGCTTTTGTTGATGGGTCAATCATTTTATCTACAGATAAGGTTTTGTGCATTTATTCTCACAATGCAGCTTCTGCTTTCCAATTAATTTCTACTCTTTTATTTTCCTTCATCTTTATTCAGATTTCCTTTCTTCTTTCCTAACCTCTTGTCCTGGATAGCCTAACTATACTATCCCATAACCTTATAGAAACTTGCAATTATACATTTCTAATATTCAGTTTATAACTTTCATATATACTCAGTACAAACTAGTTCAAAATTGTTCACATTTGTATCCCTACTGATAATTTCCTGTCAGTTACATATTCTTGTTACCTCAACCTCTCTTGGTTAAAATCTGCCTGATACAGCTCATTCTACCCCCCCACCTACCATTTTCAACAACACATGACAATTCCATATTCATCTATTCTAATTATCGATTTACTTATTCTGCCATTTTATCTTGGCGTTTCTATTTACTTTTTCTCCTTTTCTAGTTTTCTCCTTTCTAGACAGGGTAGCTGCAGTGGCCATCCTGGATCTTTTTTTTTTTTTTTTTTTGGTTTTTCGAGACAGGGTTTCTCTGTGTAGCTTTGCACCTTTCCTGGAACTCACTTGGTAGTCCAGGCTGGCCTTGAACTCACAGAGATCCGCCTGGCTCTGCCTCCCGAGTGCTGGGATTAAAGGCGTGCGCCACCACCGCCCGGCCCATCCTGGATCTTTACTGTTTGTGGTACTCAGAATCAAAACCAGGGCTTTGTGCGTGCTAGGTAACTGCTGTACCACTGAGCTATTCCCCATGCCCACAACGAATCATTCATCATCTCATTTAAAAGTTCACCACTCATCAACTCAGCTACCCTCATCTTTTTCTTTTCCTTTCTTCCCTTTCTCCCTGCCTCTCCTCTCTCATGCCCCCTCTGTTTTTAATTTCCTGGTTTTTCAAGACAGGATTTCTCTTTGTAGCCCTGGGTGTCTGGAACTTGCTCTGCAGACCAGGCTAGCCTTGAACTCATCATTGAGATCCATCCGCTTCCGCCTCCTGAGTGCTGGCATCAAGGTGTGCGCCAGCGCGCTCCCCTTCTTCTTCCCTTTGGAAAGGGTTTCCTTTTGTAGCTCAGTCATAGCAACTACAGCACGAACTCAGCAATCACTGGCCTGAGCCTCCAGGAGCGCTGGGGTTACAGGTGTGAGCTATGATGCCTGGCTTCACTACCCTCACTCTTGGGAGGCTTTTAGTGTGAAAACTCATGTGACTGACTGCTCTCCAAAACCTTTGCTTCAACTTTTCTCTATGTGCTGCAGGCCTTGAGCACATTAAGCAATAAAGCAGTTGCTCTACCACTGAGCTACACTCCAAAGCTCAGCTTGGCTTTGTCTAATACTTCTATTAGAAGAAACTAGGCATTTCATTGCTCTACATAGCCATTGCTATCTTGATCTGACTTTCTTTGCGCATCATTCTTAAAGATTTTCACTATTCTAACTGTATGTGTGCTGTGTGTCTGTGAGTGGGTATGCAGTCCTCTGCAGAACAAGCAGCTCTCCTCCCTGCTGGACCACCTTCCCTCTCTCCACTTTGTCCTTTTTCTTCACCACTGTTTACCTCATTTCTTCTGTGTTCAGTTTTTGTCTAAACTGTACCTTTGGAATTGTGCTACTGTTTAAATTAATTGAAGTTAAAGATTAGTGATGACAATGAACTACAATTGAAAACTCAGCAGCACTGGCACCATTTCAGGGCTCAACAGCCACACGCGGCTGGTGGCTTGTGCCCTCCCTGCACAGGAGGTTTGGAAGCTCCTCTAGCTGGGCTCTCCCAGAGACGAAGGCTTTGCTGTTGGAATGCTCTCCTGACCTCCTCACTGGTTCGTAGTTTCCCCCGGCCCTCGGAGTCCTAGTGGTCGGTCTGCCAGGTGCTCTTTTGAACCCACCTCAAGCAACCTTTGGTTTCTTCCGTCTCTGCCATATGCAGCAGAGTGAACATTTATTCCTACTGTGCCTGGGCCTATCCCAATGACTAAACCTAAGACTTACATCTTTTATAGATTCTGGAAGGTTCTCCATTATAATTTCTTCAAATATTGCCTCTTTTGAATCAACTTTAACATCCTGACCATCTTGCCCATCATGTGGACTTTCTAACTGTCCTACTTCCATTCCTTTTCCCTTCTGAGGATTCAGTCTCTATTTCCTCACATAGTCCTCCTAGTTTACCAATGAGTGTGTGCATGGGTTTTTTGTTGTTGTTTTTTCCACCACCACCCCTTTTTATTTTCTCAGACAGGGTTTCTCTGTGTAGCTTTGATGCCTTTCCTGGATCCTGCTCTGTAGACCAGGCTGGCCTCGAACTCACAGAGATCCACCTGGCTCTGCCTCCCAGTGCTGGGATTAAAGGCATGCGCCACCACAGCCTGGCCTCGTGTGTGCATGTTTAAAGCTGTCGTTAATTAGTTGCTGAATCCAGGTAGTCTATTTTAGTAACTAAAATTTTAATTTCTGTAAGTTCTACTTGGTTACTTTTCAAGTCTATTTGTTATTTTTAATAGCATTTGACTCTGAAGTTATTTCTTTTTAATTTATAATCCACATTTGAGAGTACACCCATTAAGTTCTCCAAGTGGTAGTCCATTAACTGAAGTTCCGGAGAAGGGCTGCCTAATGCTGCTCTTTCTTGTATAGTATCTCTCACTACTCACTGTGA